ATTGATCATTCTAGACACCATTGATTACTGAACTACAGTAGTACATTCAATCATTGTAATGGGTTTCTCAACCTTCTCAGGCAAAGGGAAACCAGTCTTTTGAATAAACAGTCAAACGTGACACCCTTAAAAACAGAAACGAGGGAGCAGACTGGGTGATTGCAGAAGGGTAAGATGGCGTTACATTAACTCTAAATTGGCTTGGGGGAATGTTGGGTTTGTCTAGAAAGATAATCATGTCCCTGTTGAACTGCGGTGCCTCTCTCTCTCTCTCCCTCCCCCTCCATTTCTCTCTCTCTCTCCCTCCATACCTCCATTTCTCTCTCTCTCTCTCCCTCTATTTCTCTCTCTCTCCCTCCATTTCTCTCTCTCTCTCCCTCATCACTATTTCTCTCTCTCTCTCTGCCTCCATCCCTCCATTTCTCTCTCTCTCTCTCTCTCTCTCTCTCTCTCTCTCTCTCTCTCTCTCTCCCTCCCTCCATTTCTCTCTCTCTCTCTCCCTCCCTCCCGCCATTTATCTCTCTCTCCCTCCCACCATTTCTCTCTCTCTCTCACACCCTCCCTCCATTTCTCTCTCCCTGTATGAGAGTGAGACATGCAGCACTTGGTTTTTCTGGACTAGAATACACTGTAACTATCACCACTTATTTCCTCTTAGCCCCAACACTGCCCTCTATAGGCCTGATGTCAGGATACAGGGCATGACATTATTCAACCAAAGATTGTCTATTATATTGACAAGATAGTCAAGTGACTGCTCTAACAATCGAAATACATGTCCTCAAAGATGGAAGGCAGGCAAGAGGAGGCGAGATCAGGTGGGACCTTTGTAGCCAATGAGAGGGCAGATACGCACGTGAACAACAGTTCCATAATAGCATCAATGACAGCATGGCCAGCGCCATTGAGGCTATCTCCATTTTAAAGTAGTAAATGTTCTTCTTCATCACTGGCTGATTGCTCCCAACTCATAGGAATCCCCACCTAGTTGACTACTTTAAAATGGTGGAAGCTCTCAATGGTAATGCCCATGCTAAAACGGGTTATATCCATGATGAGTCCCCTATCTATCTCTATGACAACAGGCACAACTCCGATATAAACTATTTTTTTTCAAAGTTGCTGAAATGCCACGTGCATCCACTTATATCAGTGCATTCGTAACAACCGAACCACTACGAAAGGTATTTTCGATCAAATAAGCTTCACGTAGCAAATTAGCAATTACATTTTTTGTTGGCCAAATTTGACACTCTCTCATTGACCTCCATGCAGAAATTACTCACTTGGTGACCTTATTTTCGTGAACAGATTTTTGGGCGGAGTCAAACATCTCGCTTCGCCTCTTCCTCTCTGCTTCAACCTATACACTTCTTATGGTTGGCATTTAGGTGGTCAGAGAGTATGCACTGGAGCCATCAAGTGTTCATGGAAATGTTTAAATGTGTTTTTAAGGCTTATTGGTACAGACGTGTAGCTATGTGGGACACCTCAGGTCATTTGTGGCACAAGAAACTGTCCGTTGTCCACTAACTGAATTTGCCATGTGTCTCAGAGCTTTCCACCAGGTGAGTGATGCTGTGCTGCTTGGGAGAAGCAGGCAGCTGTGTCTGCACTTTCTGAGACCCTGGCTGTAAATGGCTGTGACTGTGTGTGTGTGTGACGTAAGCAGACACATTAGCCTGAATAACCTCATGCATTCCACATGAATCCTTCAACTTGGTAGGCATCCATTAACGGTCCTAATATATTAATTGGATGTTGTTATTATTCTACTATATGGTTATTATTGTAACTGTTAGTATGGCTCTCCGTGACTTGCTATTCCTCCCACTTACTCTGGGCAACTCAATTATTTTTTTTATTTTTTATGATGATGGTTGCTAGATTATGGCAACAAAACCATCTGTCTAAAGTAAATATGACAATATCATACTCATGACAAAAGGGTTTCTTATGAATTATTTGCTTACTTTAGAAATATAATTTTATTGCCAAGCCACTTTAGTGTCCTTCAGACGAAATCATCATCAGCCCCCATTGAGAATGCCTGGGGCAGCACATTCAGAATGCCTGGGGCAGCACATTCAGAATGCCTGGGACAGCACATTCAGAATTCCTGGGGCAGCACTGTCAGAATGCCTGGGGAAGCACATTCAGAATGCCTGGGGCAGCACAGTCAGAATGCCTGGGGCAGCACAGTCAGAATGCCTGGGGCAGCACATTCAGAATGCCTGGGGCAGCACAGTCAGAATGCCTGGGGCAGCACAGTCAGAATGCCTGGGGCAGCACTGTCAGAATGCCTGGGGCAGCACATTCAGAATGCCTGGGGCAGCACAGTCAGAATGCCTGGGGCAGCACATTCAGAATGCCTGGGGCAGCACAGTCAGAATGCCTGGGGCAGCACATTCAGAATGGGAGTCAGTCAAGCTGAGAACATCCATAACAATGGAGTGCCGTGTCCATGAAACCCATGAATAGGTTGTCCCCTGTCTGATACAGCCAAGGAAGTATGATGTTGCTCATGACTGTGATCCATTGTGTTGTCTGAATTTTAAATAAAAAAACACTGAATTGCTAAGGTCATTCCAGTACATAACCTAGATTGTCTACGTTTTTTAAAATCAACTGATGCAACACTGCGATTCCTTCCTAATGCAAATCCTGATGTCGTAAGCGGCTCACACTAATGTCTAGAATGAGGAGGCAGGAACAACACTGAATCACTGAGCTTCTATAATAAGAGCCCTGGACCCGGTTGCATAAAACACCTTAAGGTAATTTCCCCCTTATCTTTTCCCTTAAAGGTTCCTTAACTTTAAGTCAGTTGCAGAAAACATTTTAAGGTGAATTTCCCCCTTAAATTAAGTGAAAACGTTAAGGGTACCCACGAGGTCCCTTAACTGCTTCATTCTGTCTGGATATCAATGTAAACAGCCTTTGTGGAGGTGAATGTTGCTCCCACATTCCATCTTCCACTTTCTCATTGCGAGGTTACAATTCTTGGAAGCTTGAGGGAACTCAGGGAGAGTGCCTGGAATGTGTTTAATCTAGGTTACTCAATTGAGACACAGGCTATGTAGTCAATTTGATACGTCTAGTTTTTCAGATAATTTGCTTCTCATATTTTGTCATAATCTTCATATTGGCATTATGGCATTATGGTCCCCTAAAAGTGCTATTTCACATAATTTCCCCAATATGACGCTGATACAGCTCAACGTTTCGTGATCGCTATGATCAATAAAATAACATCTCTCAGTCGTTGCTGGCGCCTAAAATACCCATTATTGCCCAACTGGGATGCGTTTTGAACAGAGCTATCTTATAGGCGACATGAAAGTCAAAAAGTAATTGCACGACGGCAACATATGGTGCCTTAAAATGTTCTAATCTTTTAGAAAACTGCAGATTAGTGGAAATGAGACAGGATCATTTCCTACCGCCAAAAATCATTATGACACAATGTTAGAGAAGAGGTTACTGACACTATCTTTGACATTTAGTAAAGCAACAGATGTTAATGCAATGGAGACAGAATTTGAACAACTCGAACACTAACTGTCATCAAAGTGAAAACACAATTCAGTGCAATTACAAAGAGCTGCAGTCAGTTTTAGAATGGGTGGTAAGTAATACACTAGTAATAAAAGCATTGTATTTGGGACAAACCATTCACCATGGGACAAACCATTCACCATGGGACAAACCATTCACCATGGGACAAACCATTCACTAAACCCTAAACCTCAACTAAATCTTGTAATGAATCATGTGGAAATGGAGGAAGTTGAGGAGACTAAACTGCTTGGTGTAACCTTGATTGTAAACTGTCATGGTCAAAACATTTTGATGCAACGGTAGCTAAGACGGGGAGATGTCTGCCCGTAAATAAAGCGTTGCTCTGCTTTCTTGACATTACTATTAACAAAACAAGTCCTCCAGACCCTAGTTTTGTTGCACCTGGACTATTGCCCAGTTACATGGTCAAGCGCCACAGAGAGGGACTTAGGCAAATTACAGTTGGCCCAGAACAGAGCAGCACGGCTGGCCCTTAAATGTACACGGAGAGCTAACATCAATGACATGCATGTCAATATCTCCTGGCTCAAAGTAGAGGAGAGATTGACTGCATCACTACTTGTCTTTGTGAGAGGTATTGACATGTTAAAAACACTGAGCTGTCTAGCACACAGCTCAGACACCCATGCATACCCCACAAGACATGCCACAAGGGGGTCTCTTCACAGTCCCCATGTCCAGAACAGACTCCGGGAAATGCACAGTACTACACAGAGCCATGACAACAACTCTATTCCACATCAATTAACTCATGCGAGCAGTAAAATTGGATTTAAAAAACAAATAAAACTACACCTTATGGAACAACGAGGACTATGAAAAGACTCACACGCATACACACACGCGCGCTAGCACACGCACTCTACACACACATACATTGTAATATTGTTGTATGGTGGTATTATACGTGTTGTATTGTAGATACGTAGTGGTGTAATAATGTTATATGATGTACTGTTTTATATTTTGTTTTACATGTAATGTAAGTGCCTTAATGTGTTTGGACACCATGAAGAGTAGCTGCTGCCTTGGCAGGAATTAATGGTGATCCATAATAAATACAAAAAAAAAAAAAAGACAAATGCCATATCTTCATTTGAGCCTGTTTCACACAGCAGGAAAATAATCCTGCAGCAACCGGAAATGTGAATTGTTATGTAGATTACAATTAATGAACATGTTTTGTAGGGGTTAGGGAAAATCAAGTCTGAAATTTGAAAGCGGAAATGACAAACTTTAGAAGCCTTTTTTAACCTTGAGTACACTACTAAGTTTGCCTTTCCTGCTGTGCAGGAAAATTCCTGCAACAACAGGATGATCAAATTAAGATATGGCATCTGTACATCTTCTGTTCATTCAGGGAGATAAAGGCTAAACTTACATGCATATGTCATAGCAAAGCTGCTTGCTGTGTCGACCATGTCCACTTGTGGTACCAGTTTGGGGATATCCTGGTGATGAGAGAGTGCAAACCGAAAAACCTCATATTCGTGGGAGCCCGTTGGGAACAATCCCCCTGTGTGAAAGACAAAGGCCATCATTGAAGAGGGTGCACATCAACTGTCATCAAACAACGATTATTTGAATGTAGCCTATTACAAAATAAGAAGAATGGGGACTGTCTTGCAACTTTGGAATTACGCAGCAGTTTAGATGTCAAACTTACAAGAGGCAGTAGTGATATAATAAGCATTCCGTGTTGATAATACTCACCTATATTTATATTACTTGGAAAACTTGAACCAGAGCAAAACCCAACACAAAAACTGACAAAGACCAAGGTAAGGCTTCGCTGCATATTTCCTTTTGCATTGGCGACGAAAAAAGAAACAAATTCCAAATAAAGATCTGCTTCTGTTGCCCACAAGCCACTCACAATGCATCCATAGTTTTAATAGACAAACTGAATTCGCAGAGGTTTAGTCACAACCGCTCTCTCCCTACCCTGGCGCGCTCTCTCGCTGTCTATGCGGTGCGCGCAGAGCTAAAGATAATGCCAATACAAGAGCAGACAGAGCCCTACCTACTTCAGATATAAACTGCGGAGCTTCGATTATGTCAGCATTAAATGGGAGCTCATGATGGTCTTCTGAACATTCTGTCACCGTATCTTATTTACATTTTGGTCATTTAGCAGACGCTCTTATCCAGAGCGACTTACAGTTAGTGAGTGCATAGATTTTTCATACTGGCCTCCCCGTGGGAATCGAACCCACAATCCTGGCGTTGCAAGCGCCATGCTCTACCAACTGAGCTACAGGAGGCCCTTTTTTATGAGAATGACGCTTATATAAATCGGTAAAGAACTGGGAATGCCCAAATCCCTTGCCCAGACTGTACCACTTTTCTAAGTGTTAAACCAGTAGTGGAGTTGCCAAGACGTTCATGGCATAATGATTGTGCAAGCAGTTCATTACCGGTCTATGATTGGTCGCAAATTGCAACTTAACTCGACTAGTTAATTACATTTTATGTACACAAGTATAGTGAAAATAATGATACATAGAGTTAACTAGTTCAGTACATTTTATGACACATACATGTGTTATTATTATGTTTTTACAGATCACAAATGTATAGCCTAGTGAGGCTGTTTTGCGACGGACAGCCCGACAGTAAGATAATAAATAAGGAGTATTTTAACATGCAGTATTTTACATTAATACATCTCTTGAAAGATACAGTAGATAGGCCTAACCCTCACAACTGCTCTGTCACATAATAACATATATAGGACACAGCGTTTATCAGACAACAAGACTGCGGCTTTGTCTTAACTGGCAGCCGACCAGAGATCAACTCTTTGCGCGCGCTCTAATCCAGGACATCGGAAATTAATGAACGCCATAACAGGCGGCGTGTCGACCTGATGGGCCTGAAAATAGTCTCGTTACAGCCTCGTTTGGCCCCACCACTGTTCTCGTGTCTGGAGACATTGACACAGAAATGATTTTTAGAGACTGCTCTTTTTGGACAGCAGAATATTTCTTTCTGTTCGGATTGGCGCTATAGGTTTTTGCAAATGGGAGAAACATGTCATGGGCTACTGGCTTTGTGATAGGCCTACTGGGATAAAAAAACGAATCTCTTACACATCTTTATCGCGCCGAGTTTAAAGTGTCACCATGCTAGGAGTAAAACAACATTTTAAAAACAACATTGTTGTCACGTGCATCTACTGCACAATCCTATAGCAACCTCACAGCACGAGCTCATACATTGATTAATGTTAAATCCCTAACTTCCCGATGTACAACAGTTGAAAGCCAGAGAATGAATAAATGATGAATGCATTGTGCGTTCACAGCATCTATTAAATGCAGAATGACATAATGCATTACAAACCTGAGAAATTAAACGCTGTTGGAATCAGTCTTGAAAGCTGTGGGAACATTATTTTCTCTAGATCTCGAGACCATTCGTTGTGCTTACATCCATGGCATGTTGTTTTGTGTTATTCCTAACACATTATGCAAGATGCAGTGTCATCCAAACACATTTCCTCACCTTGAAATCTAGATTCAGATTTGATGCATATTGTGGATCATGAGTCATCGGTAAATAAGTGACAGTAATAGTGAGTGAAGATGGCATTTTCACCACAACAATGAATCACAGAATTTCACAACCAGAGAGTCAGCCATTGTTAAAATCAAAATACATAGAAGAAGATACATATTTCTGCAAGATTAACATTTCAGTTTATTTGTTAGAACACAAACAGTACAGTATGTGGAAAGAAGGAATATGCTTTGACTTGTGGATGTGTTTAGAGACAGTGTAGGGTGGGTGTGGATCTCACCTCAACAGGAATGTCACCATTGTAGTGGACAGGATAGAATGAGTGATGAGATGAGTAGGAGGAACGCAAGGTATCACTGACACTCCATATGTAGCAGAGATGGTTCGGTGAACAACTCCTGCATGAAGACTATAACCTTAATTATAAACTGGGTGGTTCAAGCCCTGAATGCTGATTGGCTGACAGCTGTGGTATATCAGACCGTATACCACAGGTATGACAAAACATTTATTTTTACTGCTCTAATTACGTTGGTAACCAGTTTATAATAGCTATAAGGCACCCCTCGGGGGTTTGTGATGTATGGCCAATATACCATGGCTAAGGGCTGTATCCAGGCACTCTGCGTTGCGTCGTGCTTAAGAACAGCCCTTAGCCGTGGTATATTGGCCATATATCACATCTCCTCAGGCCTTATTGCTTAATTAAGTCATACTTGAAGACTTGTGTTAGCTCCCAGAGCCAATGCCTTGGCTATACCTCACCAGGCTATACTCTGTAGCTCAGCTGGTAGAGCACGGCGCTTGTAACGCCAAGGTAGTGGGTTCGATCCCCGGGACCACCCATACACAAAAATGTATGCACGCATGACTGTAAGTCGCTTTGGATAAAAGCGTCTGCTAAATGGCATATTATTATATTATTATACGGTCATCTTAAGTTATGCTGATGATAACAGTTTGATGCCTGTCATCGGCAACACATACACACAAGTGACTATGACTTTTTATGTTCTTAGTTGATAATGGATGTTTTAAATCCCCAAATAAATGTTGTTTTAATTGATGTTTTTTTTTAAAGACACCTGATTTGTTTAATGGAAACTACAACTAATTATATTACAAACACCCCCTTTAAACCAATAGTATAATGTTCAAGATCTGTAATATTCACTTGGATAAGATTTGTTCCTGGAAAGCGAAACACTCTCTTTCATACCCATGCAACAGATAGAACACTGGGCTTTTACACTATGTTGTTAAGTAATTAAGAGAGCGGGTGCATGAGCACTATCCACTGGGAGATCATTAGATTACAAAGGGAAAGAAAAACGTCGCTTTGGAATGCCATTTTTAGTAAACAGTGTCTTGTTGGTTTCCAATACAGGCTTTTACTGATTAAATATTCACTTTACACAGAGCAGTAACACCAGGGTGGCGTCAGATGTTTCTATGTTGTGGCTGTTTCAGAGGGAATTCACTGGGCTCTCTCATGGTAACAGTGCTTCTGAAGCAAGTGCCAGGAATATGCCTTATGGGAGTTAGCTACTGTAGTTGTTGAGAGTCAGTTGAAAAACAAAACAAATATGGAATTGATATTCATAAATAATACATTAATACTCTAAATTGAATAATTGAGCTTTGGCTTACTTTTTTGTACCATTTAGTTAACACTGAAAAGCCTCCTATAGCAAGTAAAATAAACTGAGTAATTGTCCATATGGAACCTGGGATATAGGACTGGTGTGTGAGATTTCAACATCAGACCATGTGTTTGGCCCTCAAAACTGGCAAGGACATACAGTAAGCCTCACCATTTCACCCTCTATGCCAAAGATCATGGAAGGTGATGCATCATATGATAATGTGTTTGCTGCTGAATGAACTATCCAGGATTTGAACTGTCTCCTGGGTAAATCCCACTGACCTCTTAGTCTGAATTGATTTAACACTTAGTGTACCAGGGAAGTTGACTAAAAACACATTCTCATTTACAGCAACGACCTGGGGAATAGTTACAGGGGAGGATGGGGGGATAAATTAGCCAATTGGAAGCTGGGGATTATTAGGTGGCCATGATGGGATGAGGGCCATATTGGAAATGTATCCAGGACACAGGGGTTAACACCACTACTCTTATGAAAAGTGACATGGTATCTTTAGTGACAACAGAGAGTCAGGACACCCATTTAACGTCCCATCCGAAAGACGGAAAGTCCGTCGTAAGTCATCAGATCCAAAAAATCACACGTTTCTTTTGGGATTACCACATGAATCACTGAGGGGTTGTAAGTGAAATAGTTATGCATTAATCGCACCAGTTGACCACTGCAATCTCTCATGGGAAGACTGGTTGAATCTGAGGCGGCGATCGCCAGGACAAATAGTCGCAGACAGACAGGCCCATTTTGTACATCATGTGCAGTAATTTGTCAAGTCCTGGGACGCGACGCATTTCCATGTGGTGCCCATTTATGTAAAGAGGCCAATGGATGAAATATTAAACAGATGAATAATGGAACAAACCATTCGACATCAAATTATTCTTCAACCATTTGTTGCATTGATTGTGCATTTTTTGTTCACAGCACATTTAAAAGCATTTTAGCTTCCCTCCATCCTCAGACCCTGGCTGTTTTCCCTGGCCTGTGAGAAAAGTGACAGAGCAAGACTCATCCACTGGTGCTCAGAGGTCCCATTTACAGCTCCACTATACTTTGAAAGCTGTAGACCTTTGAAAAGCAGACAGTGAGGCAAGAACCCACTGGACAAAAGCTGGTTGAATCAACGTTGTTTCCACATCATTTCAACCCCCAAAAAATTATATGTGATGACGTTGAATCAACGTGGAAAACTGATTGGATTTGCAAAAAGTAATCAACATAAGGGAATTACGTATCTTTTCACCCAACTTTTAACCTTAATCCAATGACATTGTTTTGTTGATTTCATGTTGCATTCACGTTTGTTGACAACTCAACCAAATGTAAATCAAAACTAGACGTTGAACTTACATCTGTGCCCAGTGGGAGGTCTCAGTGCCTTCGTACCGTTGAGAAAGCACAAGGGTCATTAACGTCATTATTACACAAAGTAGTGTGTGGTGCAGAACAAGCCTCCCTCCTTTCATAGTAATTTTGTTTTTCGGCATTTTCTCAACTGTCATATCTTGTTATTGCTGGAGGCGAGAGGAAGTGTTTGTCTCAAAAATGAGGCGCACAGGATTGTTTCCGAAGATGGGATGACGGGATGATGAGGGGTAAGAATCAAACTGTC